TCCTCCTCCTCCTCCTCCTCCTCCTCCTCGTCTCCTCTCCTCGCCCCCTCCTCCTCGCCCTCCTCCTCTCCCCCTCCCTCGTCCTCTCGCCCTCCTCCTCCTCCTCCTCCTCGCCCTTCTCGCCTCCTCCTCCTCCTCGTCCCGTCCTCGTCCTCCTCCCCTCCTCCTCCTCGCCCTCCTCCTCGTCCTCCTCCTCGTCCTCCTCGCCCTCCTCCTCCTCTCCCTTCTCGCCCTCCCCCTCCTCCTCCTCCTCCTCCTCCTCCTCCTCGTCCTCTCGTCCTCCTCGCCCTCCTCCTCCTCGCCCTCCTCCCGTCCTCCCTCGTCCTCCTCGCCCTCCTCCTCCTCCTCCTCCTCCTCCTCGCCCTTCTCGCCCTCCTCCTCCTCCTCCTCCTCCTCCTCCTCCTCCTCGTCCTCCTCCTCCTCCTCGTCTTCCTCGTTCACCTAGCGCCAACTCGGGTCGAACCCCCGCGGGTTCGCGAGCCCGCGCCAGGCGGCCCACGCCGCTGCCCCCCCCTCTCTGTCCCTCTCCCCTCCCTTCGCCCTTTGCCCGCGCCCGGAATGGAGCCGCCTTGGCGCGCCGCTGGTCGTCCCCGGCGCTCGGCTGCGGAGCGGAGGGCGCAGGCAGCGCGGGCGCAGTTTCGCGCAGCGCAGGCGCTCCTACGTGGGTTCCACGCCATGGGGCACAGGGGCTGCCGCCCGACCCTGTTGGGGGAGGCCCTGGCCAACGTCCTTCGCGCCGCAGGCGGCGATCGTGGAGCTCGTGGTGCTGCTGGTGGCGATGCCTCGGCCCCCCAGCCTCCCACAGCCCCAACAGGGCCCCTACGGGGGATGACTGCCCTGGGGAGGGATGGCAAGGCGGGGGAGGCGAGCGGCGGGCTGGAGGCGGCAGTCCCCGTCGACGCTCCTGCGGCAGCCCATGGAGAACCTCCCAGGATTTCGGCCAGCGCCGTCGTGAAGGGGGAGTCGGAGGAGAGAGTGGAGGTGATGCTCGGCGTGCCCCCCGCTCCCAGCAAAGGCCCCGCGGTCGCGGTGGGGGCCTTTCAGCGGGAGCCACGGGTCGCTGGTTGCGCTTCTCCGGGGCGCGCAAGTGGAGCTGCTGGCAGTCGGATGGCCATCCCGCTTTCGCCAGATGTCCTTTCCGCGCTGAACCAAGTGATGGGATCTCCAGGTCCGCCTCCTTCGAGACCCGTTTCGCATCCGCCAGGTTCCACAACCCCTTCAGATGAGAAGTGCAAGCAGCAGTGACCATGAGAGAGGTGCACACTACTTTTTCGTTACGACATTTTGTTGTGGCCTTCGGTAATTGCGTGGGTGCTTACTCAGTGGGGGACTTGATCAGGTGGTGTCGGTTCTGTGTTGTGTATTGCTTGTCGTTGCAGACGGGAGAACACATTTGCAGGGAGCTGGCATCTTCTGATACAGGGTGAAGACTGTGTTGATGCGTCACGATTCTCCAGCTATTTTGCTTACTTTGTGGAGGGACATGAAATAAAGTGAACACACTGTTGCATAAGAGTTCTGTTGTTTGGTCTTGCCTCTTGTGTGTGCGTGTGCGTGCGCGTGTGCCGTGCGTGCTCACCAATAAGAGGCTTGCTTGTAAGTGACGCTTCGCGTCTGTTCCGATTCCGATTCCGATTCCTCCTCGTTCACCTCGCTCTCCTGGTCCTCCTCCTCGTGCCCACTGGGGGTCCCCCGATTGCCGAACGCGATGCGGTACAGTGGCGGGCTGCGCGCTCGTGGTTGGTCCCCCCGCGGCCCCCCAAAAAGCCGGGCGCCATACGGCGCACCAGAGGTCACTCTGACCCAGGGTCACTCTTGCGTGTAGCCGAACCCAGATACCCTCGAGCAGTGACAAAATTCACGACGGGAGGTGTATCACAGTTTTTGGTCTCTGGGGGCCCTTCTACCGGGCCTCGGGACCGTCAAAAAACAACTCGGGATGAAGAACTGGTTCTGGGGCATAGGTCGAAACCTCTGGGGGTCGACGTCATGAAGAGGATGTACACTTAGGCCTCCTAGATGGGGTCCGAGTAGATGTGGCCGGAGGAGCGTGCCGCATCGGCGAGACATCGCCGATCGATGTAGGGCCCGATGTGTTTCACGTCGACGTCAGCGATGCATCGCCGACGTCGACGACGCATCGCCGGTGCATCGCCGATGCATCACCGATGTATCGGCGATGCGGCGCGATCCCCCCCACCCCATCTACTCCGACCCCATCCAGGAGGCCTCGACACTCGGACCGAGATATCAGCTCGAGGTCGGTTCTGGGAGGGTGCTGAGATGACCGCGGCGGTTGCTGAGGGGATAGGGGGGTGGCAGTGGATGCTAAGGTTTGTTTTGGCTGGCCTATATTAAACGTGCGCCACATGGTTAGGGGGCTCGATCACAGCCCGGCACCTTACCATCCGCTTCTAAGCCCCGTATCCCCTTTGCAGACGCCGCGGTCATCTCAGTAATGTTTTTTGTGTTTGTTGGATGTTCTTGTGCATTCTGGGTGAGGGCATCCTCGAGTGTTCTTCAGCTTGGGCGGAGGCCCAGTGGTCAGAGGAGGAAAAGGTAGCGATACTACGACCCCAAAGATCCAACGCTCCAGAAACATTGGAGCGGCGGGTTTTGGACTATTTTCGGCCTCCGGGTGCCCTCGCCGGGCCTCGGGACCGTGAAAAAAAACAACGCGGGGCGAAAACCCGGCCCTGGGAGAAGTGGTCCAGACCTCGGATGCCCACGCATCGGACAAATTGGAGCGGCCGGATGACTGGGGATGGCACCGATACCGCTGTCCTTCCTTCGTTCTCCCCTTTCCGGGCCTCCTGGGAAGCCCGACATCCTGGTCAGGGCGCACCCCGGGAGAGGTCTGGCCGGGCAGAGGTGGATCTCCATGCACCGTACACAGACCCCTTCGAGCCATGGGAGCATCGCGACGAGATGCTGTTCGCCAGTTTCGGCATCCAGGGGCCACGCACCCATGGCCTGGGGAGCCGGACTCGGGGCGAAACGCCGGTCCTGGGAGAGGGGTCGAGAGACCTCTGGGGGTCGACGTCATGAGGATCGGGGGAGCGTAAGACCCGGGTTTGCCAGGACTCGGGTTCGCCATCGTTTTTTGACGACCGCGCCTCGGATTTTGACGAGGAGGAGTTTCGTGGGATGTCTGCAGCGGGAGGCCTCGTCAAAATGCAGGCTCGGCCTCGTCATTTTTTTGACGACCTCGTCGGGGATTTCCGAGTCCCCTGTACCCAGGTCTTACGTCCCCCTGAGAGGAACACACGGCGTCGGGGGCCCCGGGCCCGAGGCCCAGTGGGTCTCGGGGGGGCAGGGCGGCGGGGAGGGCCCGGACGTCCGGCGCCGCTCCGCGCCTGCTTCGCTGCGTGGGCGCACGGAGGTCTGGGCGCCGGCCCCGAATACGCGCAGGGCCGGCGGTCGCGCCGTTCTGTTGGACCGTCCCGAGGCGCGGCGCCAGGGCCCCGGGAGGCCGAAGATCCGGAGGGAGAGAAACGCACAGACACAAGTCATCGTCGACTCCCAGGAAAAGATGGGAAAACATGGGAATCGGGCGGGCAGACCAAAACCCATGAAAAAATATGGGGAAACAATGGGGAATCAATCTATTTGTGTGTATTTACTTGTGTGTCCGTGGGCCCCTTGAGAAGACGGCCAAAAGCCCGCCGCTCCAACTTTTCTTGAGCGCCGGATCCCTGAGATCCGACGTTGCCGAAAAATTACAACCTCGTCAAAAATCACGACCTGCACCCTGGACCCATCGTTCTGCGCCAGTCTTCGTGCCCGATATCGATATGTGAGTGTCCCGCGCCCGTTCTGAAGCAGTTGAGTCGCCAGGATCTCGACCCATTGCCCAGGACCGGCTTTTCATCCCGAGTCGTTCTTTGATGGTCCCAAGGCCCGATATGGGCCCCAATAAGCAGAAAATGTGGAAATATCCTCCGTGATGTTTTCTTCCTGACTCGAGCATGTCTGGGAGGATGCCTGAATTATCGCACTATTGGAGCTGCGGATCTCTGGGGGGTAATAGTATCAGTACCCTTTCCTAGTCCTCTCCTTCTCTGACCACTGCAATGGGCCTCCGCCCAACCTGAAGAACACTCTAGGGTGCCCTCCCCCAGAATGCACAAGAACATCCAACAAGCACGAAGAACATTAGGGCATCCTCCTCGAACCGACCTCGCCTCGATCTGATTTCTCGGTCCGACCCCAGACCCCCGACGTCATGTTTTTGTTCACGACGTCGACCCCCACAGGCCTCTATCCCATTCCCCGGGACCGCTTTGCCGCCCCGAGCCGTGTTCTGCGGGCCCCGAAGCAGCGCGGCGAGGGCCCCCGAGGCCCAAAGCCTGCGGAGAACCTCCGTCTTGCTCTTTGCACCGTGCGCTGGACCTCTGGGCACACTGCACGGCACCCTCGCCGAACCGACCTCGACCTCCCAGGCTGCGCCCGCCGCGCCGCCGCGGCGTCGGATCTCTGAGGAGGCGCCCGCCGCGGCGGCGGCGGCCGCGCCCGGCGGCGCCCCGCCGCCGCGGGAGGGCTGGCGGGCGCCGCCGCTGCTGGGCGGCCTGCCGCCGCTGCTGCTGCTGCTGGGCGCGGCGCTGCCTGGAGGGGCGCTGCGCGGCGCCGCCGCGGCCCTGGCGGCGGGCCTCGCCGCTGCGGCGCTGCTCCTCGGAGGGGAGGGGGCGCGAGGACTGTGGCCAGGAGTCGATCGTTTGGAAGCCCAGGGTTGGCCAGGGGACGGGTTGCCTCCCACAGCAGCGACAAGCCTTCCAAAACCCTCCCGCAGCCCTCCAACAAACCTTCCTGGAGCCCTTCCCGGAGGGTTTTCGGAGGGTTGCGGGAGGGCTTCGGCTGTTTTGAAGGGAAACCAGTCCCTGGCGAATCTAGGACTTTTTAAGTCGATCGGGGAAACGTAAGACTCGAGTACGCCTGGCCTCGTATTTGCCGACGCTTTTTGACGAGCGCGTCCTGGTTTTTGGCGGTCCAGGTTTCGTGGGATGTCTGCAGCGGGAGGTCGCGCCACATTCCAGATTGGTCTTGTCACTTTCATGATGGCCCCTCGGAGGGGAGGCGCACGATGACTGTGGCCAAGAGTCTAGGCTCAGAGGAGGAAATCCTGGCCTCCTAGATGGTCCGAGTCTACGGGTCGGAGGATCGCGCCGCATCGCCGATGCATCGGCGATGCGGCTCGATGTGAAGACCCCTTTCCTTTACGTTGACGTCGCCGATGCATCGCCCGTGTCGACGATGCCTCGCCGGTGCACCGCCGAGGCATCGCAGACGCTGCTCCTCGGAGGGGAGGGGCACGAGGGAGGGGCACGAGGACTGTGGCCAAGAGTTTAGGTTCAGAGTAGGGCACCCAGACCTCCTCGAGTCATGAATCGCGACGGGACGTTTTTCAATTTTCGGCTTCGGGGGCCCTACCGGGCCTCGGGACCGTCAACAAACGTTTCGGGATGAAGAACCAGTCCTGGGGAATGGGTCCAGATCGCTGTGGGTCCACGTCATGAGAAATTCAGGACGGCGGGGGTCTGGGAAAGGTGCCCATACCGCTACCATTTCCTGGTTTTCCCGTTTCTGGGCCTCCTGGGAGGCCCTCGTCGCCACCGCTGGATTCGCTGGGGCGCAGCGGTATCGGTACCTTTCAGTTTGGATCCTGCATGGCGACTCGATTTTTCGAGCCTGGCGTACTCGCTCCATTTCGGGCCCTGGGACCCTCACAGGTGGATCTGGGTCGAAAGCTGACAGAAAGATGGGGTCTGCAGTGCAGTTTCTGGGCAGCGTCGGATCTCCGGCTCAGGGAAGAAAAATCCCAGGGAGGCTTGTCCAAGGGGGGTTGTCCAGATCCCCGCTTGGTTGTCTAAGTGGTGGACCGGGGTAGTACGCCGTCTTGTCGTCATTATTCAGCATGGGTTGTCCGGGTTTTCGGGGGTTCTCCGGGGATTCTTTCTGATTTGATTTTTCCAAGCCATCGTGTGGTGTTGGGTTCCCGTTTTGAAGAAAGAGCGCCCCGCGTTCCTCACTCACTCCTCCTCCTTCCTCCTCCCTCTCCTTTCTCCGCAGTTCCCATGCGTTTCCCCCACCCAGTACAGCATTTCGTGACCCCCAGTTGGAGCTCCACCGAAGGTCCGGGTGGCGCAGTTCGCATGCGGTTCCCCCACACAGTGCAGCGCTTCGTGGCCCCATGGAGAGCTCCACCGAAGGTCCGGGTGGCGCAGTTCGCATGCGGTTCTTGACCCCAGAGGGAGCTCCACCGAAGGTCCGGGTGGCGCAGTTCGCATGCGGTTCCCCCGCCCAGTACATCGCTTCGTGGCCCCATGGGGGACTCCACCGAAGGTCCCAGTGGCGCAGTTCGTATGCGGTTCCTGCGCCCAGTGCAGCAGCGTTTCGTGGCCCCAGAGGGAGCTCCACCGAAGGTCCAAGTGGCGCAGTTCGCATGCGGTTCCCCCGCCCAGTACAGCGCGTCGTGGCTCCATAGGGAGCTCCACCGAGGGTCTGGGTGGCGCAGTTCGCATGCGGTTCCCCCACCCAGTACAGCGTTTCGTGGCCCCGTAGGGAGCTCCACCGAAGGTTCCAGTGACGCAGTTCACATGCCATTCCCCCGCTCAGTACATCGCTTCGTGGCCCCATGGGGGACTCCACCGAAGGTCCCATTGGCGCAGTTCGCATGCGGTTCACCCACCCAGTGCAGCGTTTCGTGGCCCCAGAGGGAGCTCCACCGAAGGTCCTGGTGGCGCAGTTCGCATGCGGTTCCCCCACAGTGCAGCGCTTCGTGGCCCCATAGGGAGTTTCACCGAAGGTCCGGGTGGCGCAGTTCGCATGCGGTTCCCCCACCCGGTGCAGCGTTTCGTGGCCCCAGAGGGAGCTCCACCCGAGGTCTGGGTGGCGCAGTTCGCATGCGGTTCCAGCGCCCAGTGCAACGCTTTGTGGCCCCATGGGGAGCATCACCGAAGGTCGCAATTGCGCAGTTCGCATGCGGTTCCTGCGCCCAGTGTAGCGTTTCGTGGCACCGTATGGAGCTCCACCCAAGATCCCAGTGGCGCAGTCCGCATGCGGTTCACCCACCCAGTACAGCACTTCGTGGACCCATAGAGAGCTCCACCGAAGGTCCTGGTGGCGCAGTCTGCATGCAGTTCCCCCACCCAGCACAGCTTTTGTTGGTCACGTAGGGAGCTCCACCGAAGGTCCCAGTGGCGCAGTTCGCATGCGGTTCCCCCACCCAGTCCAGCGCTTCGTGGCCCCATGGGGAGCAGCAGCGAAGGTCGCAATGGCGCAGTTTGCATGCGGTTCCTGCGCCCAGTGTAGCGTTTCGTGGCACCGTAGGGAGCTCCACCCAATGTCCCAGTGGCGAAGTTCGCATGTGCTTCAGCCACCCAGTACAGCGCTTCGTGGCCCCATAGGGAGCTTCACCGAAGGTCCCAGTGGCGCAGTTCGCATGCGGTTTCCCGACCCAGTACAGCGCATCGTGGCCACATAGAAAGCTCTACCGAAGGTCCCAGTGGCGCAGTCCGCATGTGTTCAGCCACCCAGTACAGCGTGTCGTGGCCTCAGATGGGGCTCCACAGGCGATGACATCCAGCATTTCATTACAACTGCATATGGTTGGGTTCTTCGCCAGGGTAATTTTTGGTCCACTGAAGGGTGTAGACTTCCCAGATGGGGTCCAAGCAGATGGGGTCCGAAGATCGCGCCGCATCGCCGATGCATCGGCAGTGCGGCTCGATGGGCAGCCCGATTTTATCCACGCCAACGGCGCCGATGCATCGGCGACGTCGGCGCGATACCCCGACCTCATCTACATCGGACCCCTTCTGGGAGGCCTCTCTAAGGATGTCGCGGGATCTCGTGGACGCCAGTCTCGCAAGGGTGCTCCGCGGGTCGGCGGTGACCAGGATGGACGGTGGCCAAGACTCGGGGGTTCGTAGAGGGGGGGTTATCCCATTGTGGGGTCAGAGAGAGAACCCAGCTGGGTGCTCATATTTCCTTTTCCCTTCCTGCACAGGCCGTTTTGAGCGATTCTTCTCTGGCTCCACCTCCGCCCCTACCCCACCTCTGCGTCCCCCCCGAAAGATCGGCACTGGCGTTTCCGCGCTGCGTCTTGGCCATGGTCGCCGCTCGCCTTCCCTCCAGCTCCTGGCGCTCCGGCGGAGGGCGGCCGCGACGAGGGTGGCGGGGCCGCCCGCGGCTGCGGCCGCCGGCGAGGGCGAGGTCGACCCGGAGGTTCCGGGGCCACGTTAAGAAGGTCGGGCGTCGAGCAATGGGGGCGCGACAAGCCCCGATTTCTTCGGGTCGTGAGAAGTCATGGCGGGAGGCTTTTCGCTGTTTCGGCAGGCTTTTCGCTGTTTTCGGCCCCTGGGGGCCCCTGCAGGGGCCTCGGGACCATCAGAAGACGGCTCGGGGAGAAGAGCCGGTCCTGGGGAAGGGGTCGAGACCTCTTGGGGCCGGACGTCGTGAACCAAAAGCATGACGCCAGGGGTCTGGGAGTGGGGGGGGTGAAGACGGGTGCGCGCCTCTCGTGCCCGCAAGGGGCCCCCTGGGGCCCACATGGGGCACGAGAGGTGCACGTGCCTCCCCGCATGGAGGCGGGCCGCAAAGTGCGGTCTGCGCTCACGCTCACGCTCGAGGGTGGCCCTTGCAGAGCCTCGACGGGCATTTTATCAGAGTTCAAACAGGGTGCACGCTTCCCCCCCCCCATGTATCGCGCCCCCAGTAATCAACGCCCGATTGAGGGGGGGAGAGTTCCAGGGTCCCCCCCCCCCCGCATGCCTCACGAGCCCTCGCCGAGCGCGTCGAGGCACAAAAGTATGCGCCGCGCCCACGAGAAGTGCGCGTTGCGGTGCAGCGAGAGCGCTGCCGCCCGCTCGGGCTCCTTCGCGGAGGCCCAACGGGGGGGGCTTCCTTCCACGATATCTCCCGAGGCGTCCTTCGGGGGCAACGTTAGGAAGGCGGGATGCGCTCAGGGGGGATGCGTCGACCCCCAGTCGCCCATTCGTCGCCGATGGGGTCCCGACAGCCCGCCCCCGCCCAGGAGCGCGCGGATGCGCCGCCGGGGGCACCTTGCCGACCTGTCGGCGACGTGTCGCCGAGTCCAGGCCAGATCGCCGATTCCCGATGCAGTCGCGGTGTATTCGCGAATGCATCGCGATAGCTTGTCGCCGATGCATTCGCGAAGGCATCGCGAGAGCTTGTCGGCGATGCATTCGCAATATGTTTGCGAGTGCACTGCGATCGCAGGTCGCCGATCTACAGCGATGTGTTCGCGATGTGTCGCCGATTCCCCCCTTGGGCCGGTCCCCACTGGAGTCGTAGCGCACAGCTGGCCGCGCCCCGCACGCAGAGTGTCGGCATGGCCTTCCAAGGCCCTTTGCATCCTCCTCGCGCGGCCTTCTCGTGCGTACGCGTCGGCTGCACTTTCTCCCTGCGCGTGCGTGGCTGGATGGAGGGCTTGGCCGTTCGGGGCCACACCTCGGGGCTGCACTTCTGGGCGGCTCTTCGGGGCTTCTCTTGGGGGCCACACTCGGGGGGCTGCACGTGGGGGCCACGGGCCACCTTCGGGGAGCTGCACGCGGGGGCGACACTCCCAGAGCCCCGACGCCATGATCTTTTCACAGCGTCGACCCCCAGAGGTTTCGACCTATTCCCCGGATCGGTTTTTCATCCTGAGTCGTTTTTGACGGTCCTGAGGCTCAGTAAGGGCCCCTAGAGGCTGAAAATTGTGAAACATCTCCCGTCGTGATTTTTACATCATTTGAGAGGGTCTGGGCTTGGGGGCCTTTCAAGGGCCTTGCATCCTCACTGCGCATCCTTATCGCTTTCGCGCTCTGGAGGCGCTGGTGCAGCGGCTGCAGGCCCGGCTGGACGCCACGCGGCCGCCTCAGGGCGCCTGCGCCCTCCAGGCGCAAGGCTGGCGCGACGCTTCGAGGTCGCCACGACTCGAAGCTTAGAGGAGGAGGCGGAGGAGGAGGAGGAGGAGGAGGAGGAGGAGGAGGAGGAGGAGGAGGAGGAGGAGGAGGAGGAGAAGGAGCAGAGGGAGGAGGAGCAGAGGGAGGAGGAGGAGGAGGGGAGGAGGAGGAGGAGGAGGAGGAGGCGGAGGAGGAGGAGGAGGAGGAGGAGGAGGAGGAGGAAGAGGGGGAGGAGGAGAGGCAGGAGGAGGAAGGAGGAGGAGGAGGAGGAGGAGGACGAGGAGGTCTCCTCTGCAATCCTCGCGTCGTGAAGACAAGACATGGATGTTGGCGTTGTCGCTGTTTTCGGTACGTACCTGGGGACCTCCCTGAGATCCTGGCGACTCAATCATGTCGAGCTGGGTGTTTTCGCTCCATTTCGGGCCCTGGGGCCCTCACAGATCGATCTGGCTCGAAGAATGACCAGAAAAGTGGGGTCGGGGGGTCCAGTCCAGTTTTGTTTGTTTTGCGATGTGGCGATTTTTGGGGCAACGTCGGATCTCAGGGCGCGACGGTTGGTGCTGTTGCTCTTTTTTGCACCCGGGGGCATCTTCCGAGCCCCAGGGCCCTAGACCCCCACCGTCATGATTTTTTGTCGTAACGTCGACACCCAGAGGTCTCGGCCCCGTCCCTGAGACCGGTTCTTCATCCCGAGTCGTCTTTAGACGGTCCCGAGGCCCGGTGAGGGCCCAAAAGATCGGACATTCTGGGAAAAGCCACCGTGGTGATTTTGTCATGACTCGAGGGGGTCCGGGGACTGTCAAAAAGTTCACTCTGGGAGGTTTTCAGTATTAGACCCCAACCCCCTTTTCTCTGGGCGGTGAATGGGACTGGTCCTACAACCTCCTCGTCGCGGCGGAGATGTTTGTTCCCTCTATTGCTGGGCGGGTTGGATAATGTTTTTGTTTGGGGGTTCTATCATGCCCCCCTGGGCTACAGGCGAGCGAACAAAAAGTACACCTCCCAGACCCCCGACGTCATGATTTTTCCATGGAGCCGACCCCCATGCAGAGGTCTGGACCCCTTCCCAGGGACCGGCTTTTCATCTTGAGCCGTGTTTGACGCTCCCGAGCCCTGGTAGGGGCCCCGAGAGGTCGAAAAGGGTGAAAAGAAACCCGTCGTGATCTGTTCACGACCCGAGGGAGCCTGGATCTCGGGGAGGGGGCTGAAGACCTTCCCCGGTCAGGTAGCCAGTCCCCGGGAAGGGGCCCAGTCCTCTCGGGAGAGCCACGCCGCGACGACCAGAAGCCACGGCGTCGGAGGTCCAGGTCTCCAGGCCCCAGACCCCCGACGTCATGATTTTTTCAGGAAGTCGACCCCCAGAGGTCTGGGCCCTGGGGGGCTAAGACGTGGGGGCTACGGGCTACATTTGGTGAGCTGCGCGCGGGGGCCACACTCCCAGAGCCCCGACGTCATGATCTTTTCGCAGCGTCGACCCCCAGAGGTTTCGACCTATTCCCCGGGACCTGTCCCTCGTCCTGAGTCGTTCTTTGGCGGTCCTGGGGCCCGGTAAGGGCCCCCATGAGGCTGAAAATTGTGAAACACCTCCCGTCGTGATTTTTTCAGTGCTCGAGGGGGTTGAGGGGGTTTGGGCCCCTTCCCAGGGACTGTCTCTCATCCTGAACAATTTTTTGACGCTCCCGGGGCCCGGCAGGAGCCCCCAGAGGCCGAAAACAAGGCAAAACCTCCCGTTTTGATGTTTTCATGGCCCGAGGGGGTCTGGATATCGGGGGAGGGGGGTTCTAAAGACACTTCCCTGCCGTCATCATGTTTCATGACTCGAGGGGGTCTGGGAGGGGGGGGCTCCCCGTCGCCCCACGGGGGGGCGCGACTTACGCCAGGGCCGCCCTGACGGCGACGGGAGGTGTTTCGCTCGGTTCGGCCGCTGGTGCCCCCCGACCGGGCTTCGGGACCGTTCAAACACGTCTCGGAGGAGCGACCGGCCCCTGAGAGTGGGTCCAGACCTCTGGGGGTCGTCGTCACGAAGAAGTCATGCCGTCGGGGATCTGGGAGCGTTTGCGCCGTCGTTGGCCCCGCGGGACCCCCGCCCCGCCGCTCTGCAGAGATGCTCGCGCCCTGGAGAAGCAGGACGGCCAGGTGTCCAGCCGTTCGGAGCCTTTGGGGAGGGCCCCTCACCGGGCCCCCGGGGACTGTTCATGAGGATGAAAGGCTGGTCCCGGAGAAAGACGGCTCTGGGTTTCCCGGGGCCCCGCGTCGAAAACATCAGGGCATCGCATGTTGTCTGGGCTGGGGCCGCGGAACAAAAACGGTACAGGTTCAATGACGCGCCCCCGGGTCGGAAATCTCTATTCTCAGTACCCACGACGCCATGATTGTTTCATGGCGTCAACCCCAAGAGGTCTGGACCCATTCCCCGGGGCCGGTTTTTCTGCCTGAGTCGTTTTTTGACGCTCCCGAGGTCTGGTAATTAGGGGCCCCCAGAGGCCGAAAAGAGAGCTAAGCCTCCATCCGTGATTTTTTCATGACTCAAGGAGGTCTGGGGACGGAAAGCCTTGTCCTAGGGCGCGCCTTGGGGTCCAGGGGGCGCGCTGCCCTCCTATAGGATCCCCCCCCTTTCAGGAGGGGGAAAACACACAGACGCAATTCATCTTCGAAGCGCCTGAAAAGATGGGAAAATATGGGAGGTGGGGGGGAAGACGAAAGCCTACAACATTTGGAACAAATATGGTGAATCCTGGGATGTGTGTCTGTTTCTTTGTGTGTCCATGGGCCCCTTTACTCCAAATCCCTTATTAGTCGTCCCCCGGGTCCGGTTTTTTTAAATGCCTTTTTTTGTAACCGGGGGTCCGGTTTATTAGGGCGTTTTCTTTGGATTGGAGCTTAGGGGGTCCCGTTTATTAAGGCGCCCCGTCGAAGAATGGGGTCCGGAATTTTAGGTCGCAAGTGGAGGGGGGTTCGGTTGTTTAGGGGGGGGTCGATTAGTTAGAGATTTGGAGTACCCCTGTCTCCACTCATTGTGCCGGCTAGGCTGGGCGCTCGGCTCTTCCTCGCCTTCCCCCAGGAGCCGGGCGGCGCGGACAAAGAGGGGGGGGCGGGGCTCTCGAGGAAGGAGCCCAGACTGGAGGCTTTCTCCGAAGGGCTTAGGCGACCCGACTTCCTCTTCCTCTTCCTCCTCCTCCTCTTCCATCTCCTCCTCCCTCTCCTCCACCTCCTCCTCCTCCTCCTCCTCCTCCTTTTCCTCCTCCTCCTCTTCCATCTCCTCCTCCCCCTCCTCCACCTCCTCCTCCTCCTCCTCCTCCTCCTCCTCCTCCTCCTCCTCCTCCTCCCCCAGGGCCGTATACGGCCCTGGGGGAAACCATGCACTGAGACCCCCGCGAGTCATGAAAAACATCACGACGGGAGGTTTTCCATAGCTTCGGCCTCCCCCTACCGGGCCTCGGGAGCGTCAAATAACAACGACGGAGGATGCGAGACTGGTCCCTGCGGAAACGGATCCAGACCTCTGGGGGTCGACCTCTGCGGGGCGGGGCTTTCGGTGAAGGAGTGGTTCTCGGCCTCCCAGCCCCAGAGATCCAAGTCGGGTATGGCCAGGACCCCGGGTAAGGGGACCCGGTTAGTGGTAGGGCCCTGGGGCCCCTCAATTGGCCAGATTCACTAAACCAGGTATGCCGTAACCGGTGTTTTTCGGGTGACGGCAGTTCCGGTTAGTGGACATGGGGCAGGGGGGCGCCCCCGGTACAAATCACTAAACCAGGTTCCACTAAACCCAGTGCTGCCAACGCCCGACCAAGGTATTGAAAAACTCATGGTCGAGGTTTTTCTCAGTTTTCGGCCTCCAGGGACACTTACCGAGCCTCGGGGCCGCCAACAGAAACGAGCCAGGGTGAAACACCCGCCCATGGGGAGTGGGTCGAGGCTTCCGGGGACCCCGATTTTGGGATGGGGTCCGAGGAGACAGGGTCGGAGGGTCGCCCCGCAGCGGCGGTGCACCGATGTGGCTCGATGTGGAGCCTGATCCTCTCCACGCTGGCTTCTTGGGTGCATCGCTGGCGTCGCCGACGCATCGCCGATGCGTCGTCGATGCACTGGTGATGTGGCGCGAGCCCCCGCCCCCGTCTTACGACTCGGACCCCATCTGGGAGGTCTCTACCTGTGCATTGCTGGCGTCCGGATCCTCAATGGCGCCGCCCCGGCCTCCTCCTCCTCGTCCTCCTCCTCCTCCTCGTCCTCCTCCTCCTCCTCCTCCTCCTCCTCCTCGTTCTCCTCCTCCCCTCCTCCTCCCTCCTCCCTCCTCCTCCTCCTCCTCCCTCCCTCCTCCTCCTCCTCTCCTCCTCCTCTCCTCCTCCTACAGGGACGCTCGCTCCTCCTCCTCCTCCTCCTCCTCCTCCTCCTCCTCCTCCTCCTCCTCCTCTATCTCCTCTACTGGACGCAGCTCGACAAGAGTTGCCAGACTGGACGCCAGGAGAGGTCGCGAGGGGTTGTTCTTGTGGAGCGTTCTCCGACAACGGGTTCTGGACGCCAGACGAGCTGTCCAGGGTATAACTCGGGCCGGGGGCATTTGCAGCTTGTAGACCCGACTGCGCGAGCTCGCAGCTTCCCCCGACCGTCTCCGGCCCCGAGGATTCCGGGGGTGCCCAGAGCTCCGACGCTCCCACAGAACTTGTCGCTGCGGGATTGGTAGGCGAAGTTCTCGGCCTCCGGGGGGGGGCCCCTCGCCGGACCTCGGGACCGTGAACAAAAAAAACACAATCCGGCGTGAAAAAACAATTCGGCGTGAAAAAAACAGTTCGCCGGGGAAAAAACAATTCGGCGTGAAAAAAACAAATTCGGCGTGAAAAAAACAATTCGGCGTGAAAAAAACAATTCGGCGTGAAAAAAACAATTCGGCTCCACAGAGAAGTGGTCCAGACCTCCAGGGCCCACGCCTCGAAAAAATTGGAGCGGCCAGATGTCTGGGTGGATGGGCGCCCGAGTCGTCCGGGATAACTTATCGGTCTGATAATTCCGGCTGAGGCTGAGGCCCGCGAGGCGCGACTCTGCAGGGAAGCCCCTGACCGCCCCGATCGAGGCCGGGTAAGGGGCCCCCGGAGGCCGAACATGACGAAACACCGCCCGTCGCGATGTCTGCCAGGTGAGCGTTTTGTCATTCATTCTTTTGCCGATCGGCGCAGGCCCTCGCACCCCCTCCTCCCCCCCCCCCGTGGTGTAGATCTTGGCTGTTTTTGGCGCCTGCTTCGAGCAGGTGGAGTCTTCCCCATGGGACGCACGGTTGCAAACAGTCGCGCTAAGCAGAGGTTCGGAGCCAGACCCCCCTCCCCTCCCACCTTTCCGCCCAATGTCGAAACGCCGAGTAAGAAAACGCCCACCAGGATCCGAGGGGGTCCGGGAGCGGCGCGCCGACATTTTGCCTCGGAGGTCCGGGGAGGGGCCACAGGACGAAGGGGGGCCCCAGGGTCGGGATGCGGAAAGGGGGGGTGGTGCCCCAAGGGCTTGTGTGTGAGGTCGATCGCTTTTGCACCGATCCGCCCAAAACTTGGCATCGCTCGGACGTGTGCATTTTTCCTCGGCGAGGACCATCGGGAAGCATCTTTGATCATTCAGCGGAAAAACGCGCACGACGTCGAAAAAGGCACGGGGAATGGACGTCCGAGCGATGGCGAGGAAACGGGTGTTCCCCGGTGGGGCATGCGGGGGGGCATCTGTTTCCGGCAGGTCGGTGCACCAACAGATCGGATGCACGCCCCCCCTCATCAGGGTCGCCCCCCCTATGTGGCGGATCCCGACGACAGGGGCGGAGGAGGAGGAGGAGGAGGAGGAGGAGGAGGAGGAGGAGGAGGAGGAGGAGGAGGGGGAGCGGCGGTCGGAGGCGGCCTGGGGCGGGCTCTGAGCGGCTCCTGGCCGGGAGGCGGGGCGGGGGCGGCCCGAGCCTCGGGGCTCTTGGGGGCCAGGGGCTCAATGGGGGCCCTCCTCGGGCCTCGGGGCCGCCCGCAAGAAGACCCGGGAGAGCTGCTCATGGGGAGTCCGCGTCGTGAGGAGATCACAACTCAGGAGGGAAAGAAACACACAGACACAATTAATCGTCGACTCCCAGGAAAATATGCAAAAATATGGGAAGTGGTGGGGAAGACAAAAACCCAGAAAATATGGGAAAATATGGGGGATATTTTTATTTGTGTGTATTTATTTGTGTGTCCCAGGGCCCCTTCAACAACGTCGGGGTCCTAGGTTGCACTCGCAAGGCGCAGCATCCGGCCTCGGGGCCGTCAAACAACGACTCGGCATGAAGAGTCGGTCATAGGGAGTATTGGTCGAGACCCTGGGGGGTCGACATCATGAAAAAAGCAGGACGTTGGGGGTCTGGGGCATCCCCTCTCCAGACCTCCGAGGATGTGTCGGCGCGCCGTTTGCTGCGACGCGCGGGCTTCCGTCTTGGGGAGGGCGCCGCCGGCACCAGGGCGAACGCCGCCTCAAGCGCGGTGGGTCTGCGGTGAGGTCTGCCGCGGTGCCGGCGTCGTCTGCTGGGGCGCGGGACGCAGGGTTTGCCGTGGGTTTTCCGCGGTGTCGGCGTCGTCCCCTTGGGCGCGTCGAGGACAGGCGGCGCACGGCGACGTGTGGTTTTTTTAAGCCGGCGGTCTTTCATGGATGGCGGCCTCCAGGGCCCATCTCCTCCTCCTCCTCCTCCTCCTCCTCCTCCTCCTCCTCCTCCTCGGGGGCCATCAGAAACAGATCCGGGACGAAAGAACACCCCCGGGGGAAGGGGTCGGGACCTCTGGGGCCGCGGAGTGGAAAGGTCATGTCGCAGGGTGCCTGGGTCTGGACAGGTCCTCCGAGCCGCGCCCAGCCGTGGCGACGAGAGCCTCAGGGGTTAAGGCGGGCAGGTCCGTCCAATTGCAGGAGAAATGTTGACAAATAGTCCAGACATAGTACGTGGACGTTATCGGCATGCAAAAAAAATCTGGTATTGTTTTCTGTTTGGATTATCTCTGGGTAGTTCAAAGTATGCTTGAACTGTCTTCCCAAATCCGCCTGGTAGGGGGACATGCCCGAGCTCTAGGAGCGCCCAGAGAGACATTTGGAACGAGGACGTAGTCGTCCCTGAGCTTCGACGGCACAGAAAAGTTGAAACACATTCTAAAATTGCTTGGCTGGAGACCTGGGCCCCACATTTCTGCGACATGTCTCGAGCTGGATCGATCCGTGAGGGGTGAGGGTTTCATGAGCCCGAACGAGAGCAAAGTCGCCCGAGGCGAGATGATTGCGACGCCAGGGTCTCAGTGTCGTCGTCGTCGTCGTCGGCGTCGGCGTCGGCGTCGGCGGCCGCGTCCGCGGCCGCGGCCGCGTTCGCGTCGGCCGCCCCTTGTTGTGTGCGCGCCGTCGCCAGGAGCCGAGGCGGCTTCTCCTCAGCATCGAGATCCGCACCGAGGACCGTGGCCGGCGGGGCCACCCCTGTGCGAGGGCGGAAGCCCTGAGAGACGGGGGTCCATGCAAGCGGGGGTCCGCCAGAGCGCCAGATCTTGCCGGATCCTGCAGGGCCAGGGTCGCACTGACCCGGGTCTGGGCATGCAGGATCCTGCAGGATCCTGACCGGCCCGGGTCTGGACTGCCCCGGGCCAGGAGGTCCCCGGCGCGGGCAGGGCGGGCCCGAGGAGCGGGCGGACGGACTCCTCCCCGAGGCGCTCGGCTCCAGGTCTGGGGCTCGTGGATCGAGGCTTTTTGGGGGATGTCCCCCGAGATCCTGGCGCCACGTGTGGCACAACGGGCGATCTTGCCCCCGTTCCTGGTCCCGGGACCCTCGCGGACCAGTCGGGCTCGAAGAATAACAATGCGGCAGTAGGAAGGGGTCCAGGGATCCAGTCGCGTTTTCATGAAGGAGCCTTTTCAGTTCTTCCGTAGCGTCGGTTCTCGTTGCCTGCGGCTATTGCGGCTCTTTCACGGGGTTCCTTCGGGAGGTTTCTGGCGGCCACGGCTGGGTCCTCCTCGAGGTCCTGGCCGCAGCGCGCCCCAGGACAGGTCCTGTGGTCAAGTGGGCGTCTCGCCGCCTTTCGGGTTCCAGGCAGACAGACAGAAGCCTTGCGTCGGGTTCCAGGGGAGGCCCTTCGTGGGCTTCGGGGCGATTTTGCTAGACATCCCCGACTCTCAAGGCAGGCCCCCGGGAAGGGCCCAGGAGTTCGTATGCCTCGGGCTGACGAAAGATCACGGCGTCGTGGGGAATCGGCCACGCGCAGAGGGGCTCAGGGGGAGCGGGGAAGGCTTCCCAGAAGTACCCACCCCTTGTTCTTGGAGGTTGCGGGCTTTCTCTACAGGTGTGAGGCCAGCGCCTTCTGAGAAGCAGCCTCCTTCTAAGAAGCCTTCCCCCCTACCCCTGAACCCCTCTGTGCATGGCCGATGTCCCCCGACGCCGTGATCTTTCTTCAGCCCGCGGGCATACGGAACTCTGGGACCCTTCCCCGAGACTGGCTTTGAAAGGCCTGGATATCTGGTAATCGCCCTGGAGCTCAAAAAGGGCTCCCCGCTCCCCTAGACCCCGAAAGCGGCGAGACGCCAAGGAAGTTGGCTGGTTAGGGGTTAGGACAGTTAAGAGGTCTACTCGAGAGTCTGTCCCGTTGGCTCACGCGCGCGGGTCCCCCCCCCTGCCCCTCAGGGTGGCCCACCGACCACCTGACCCAGACTCCCGACGTCATGATTTGTTCATGACGTCGACCCCCAGAGGTCTGGACCCATTCCCTGGGATCGGCTTTTTATCCTGAGTCGTTTTTGTTGATCCCGAGGCCCGGTAAGGGCTCCTGGAGGCCGAAAATAGGGAAAAACCTCCCGTGATGAATTTTTCATGACTCGAGGGGGTCTGGGGTGCCAGGACCAGATTCCTCGCTGCCCTCTGATCTCCCTGGAGCGCGGCCGCCTCAGCGGCGGCCTGGTTCCGATCTTCTGTGCCACCTCCCAGTGGCCCTCGTGGCTTCCGTTCTGCCAGTCCGCGGCGCTGCTGAAGCACATTGCTCCGGGGCAGGAGGTTTGGCTGGTGCGGTTCCGGTGCGCGTTCGTCACGGCCGACTGCGTGATTTTCCTCTGTGTGCTGGACCATCTCGACGACGCTGGTCGCATCGACATGCTGATTTGCTCCCCGGGGGAAGGCACGGAGGGCACCGAGTGGCTCGGGGCCGTGATCCCGCCCTGCACGGGGCAGCTGCGCGTGCCGATACTGAGATGCTCGTGCTGGGACCTTCCTGGAGCCACTCGCGCCACCCGTGCGTCGATGCTGTATCGGACGCCCGTCGATGTGAGCCGAACTTGAATTGAACCTGGGTCGAGCCCGAGTCGAGCCAGAGTCAAAACAGGGTCGAGCAGATGCGTCAATTGTATGGGCCCCAGGAAGGTCCCCCGGTCGAACATCTAACGATACAGTCGTTCCGCCTCTCCCTGTCGCCGACGAGCGCGGAGGGTGGTCTGGTTCGGGTGCAGGCGGAGCTGTTGGACGCACTCGGCGTTCAGTGGATCCACGCCCTCTTCTGGCAGACCCTGTGCGTGCGCATCCTGCCAGTCATCGAGGGCGTGCATCGGGCGTTCGAGGGCTCCGCCCTGGACCAGTTCTTCAATTCCAGCACGCGGGGCGTCGTGCTCCGGGACTTCTTCGCGGGGCTGGCAGGCCGAGTCGAGCGCTTCCTCTGCCAGCAGGGGCAAAACAACGGCAGCAGCTGCCGCGGCCGGCAGCAGCAGCAGCAGCAGCAGCAGCAGCAGCAGCAGCAGCAGCAGCAGCAACGGTGGCAGCGGTGGCAGCGGATGCCGCGCAGGGAGAAGGGAAGGGCGGGAGGGGCGGACTGCACGATGCGCAGCTGGCGAACCCAGCTCGCCATTCTCTCTCCCCCCTCCCCCCCCACCGATCCCTCTCCACCCTCTCCTTCCTTGTCCGCCCCCCCTCCCCAGGCCCGAGACGTCATGAATTTTCTTCATGACGTCGGCCCCCACAGGTTTCGACCCATTCCCCAGGACCGGTCTTTCATCCCGAACCGTTTTCTCATGGCCCCGCGGCCCAGTGAGGGGCACCCGGAGGCCGAAAATGGCGAACAACCTCCCGTCGTGATTTTGTTCATGACTCGAGGGGCCTGTGTCCAGAGATCAACTAGGCCTCGGGCCCCGCTACGGCTGGGCGCGCCTTTTGGGAAACCAAAGGGTGCCGATACCGTACTTCCTGGACCTCTCCCGAGGTGCGCTCTGACCAGGATTCCGAGGCGAGTCCAGCGGTGGCGACGAGGGCCCCCCAGGAGTCTCAAACAGGGGAACACGGGCGAAGGGCAATTAGCCGCATGGGTGCCTTTTCCCTTCTCTGGAGTCCTCACCGCCGCCCGGTCCCCTCCAAGGAGGAGGAGGAGGAGGAGGAGGAGGAGGAGGAGGGGGAGGCGGAGGAGGAGGAGGAGGAGGAGGAGGAGGAGGAGGAGGAGGAGGAGGAGGAGGAGGGAAGGGCCTCCTCCTCCTCCTCCCCCTCCTCCTCCTCCTCCTCCTCCTCCTGCTCCTCCTCCTCCCTCCTCTTCCTCCTCCTCCTCCTGCTCCTCCTCCTCCTCCTCCTCCTCCTCCTCCTCCTCCTCCTCCTCCTCCTCCTCCTCCTCCTCCTCCTCCCCCTGCCTCCTCCTCTTCCGCATGCCCTCCCCATCCCGCCCCCCGTGCGGGGAGGCACCGGGGGGAGGCAAGCTGCGGCGTGGCCTTCCGAGGCCCTGGCATCCTTGTCGCGCATCCCTGCCACACGGGTTGACCGTCTCGTTGCCCCTCGTGATCGGAGCACGGTGGCGACGCCGACGCCGACGGGCGCGGAGGCGGGGAGGCACGGGAAGCGGGGGGGGGAGGAGGGGTCGGGAGCTTTGAGAGACGGGGGTCAGTGCAGAAAACGGGGGTCAGCCACAGCGCCAGATCTTGCAGGATCTGGCACAGCGCCTCAGGGCTGCACCGACTGGGGTCAGCGCGCAGGATCCTGCAGGATGTTGCGGGATCCTGCAAGGCCTGACTGACCCAGGTTTGCAATGACCCGGCTCAGTAGAAGCCCGAGGAGGAGGGGGAGAAGGGGGAGGAGGGGGAAGGTAGGGGGGAGGGAGGGAGGAGGGGCGAGGACGGACGGACAAGCTAGGTGCGCTCGTGCACCACCTGGCATCCTATTCCTCTCTCCCATCCGTTCCTATTGCGCTGACTTTTCTCTATCCGCGGACGCGTGTCATAGCCGACCTGCAGTTCCAACAAAAAGACCACAGCGTGGTATGCGCAATCGGAGAAGGGAAGCTGCGTGTACAGGAGGAGGAGGAAAAGGAGGAGAAGGAGGAAGAGGAGGAGGTGGCAGGTGAGCAGGGGGATGGGCGGGAGGACAAGGAGGAGGACGAGCAGCAGCAGCAGCAGCAGCAGCAGCAGCAGCAGGAACTGGAGTAGAAGGAGCGGGAGGAACAGGAGGACTAGGGGGAGGCGGAGGACGGAAAATGACGGGAGCGACAACGATGAAGAAAGACTCGGGTTCAGGACAGTGGTTCACGCTGGGGCGAGAGCGCCATTCTGAACGACGGGAGCAAAACGCCGATCCGAAAACGAGACCCACACTGCAGCGGGAGTATTATTTTTGAAGCACCGAAAGTAATCGGGTTGTAAAACGCAGAAGACAAATCAATTGCGGAATTCCTGTGCAGAAAAACAGCACGTGGAGAAGTCGAATATCTTCCGCACGAAGTCAGGGGAGAGAGGAGAGTAGTATTCATAACGTGTGAGTGTGGAGGGCGGAAGAGGGAGGCTTCGGTGGCAACAGATGGGAGCCTCCCATCCACCTTGTCGGCTCTTGCGCATCGGCGTTGGTCGACGCGAATCGACGCTAAATCGTCGCTAGTCGACGCCAGCCGACCCTAAGCTGGCGCGATCTCATCGGCTCCAAGACGCTAATCGATGCCAGCCGACGGCAGCAGCAGAGAGCAGAGGGCACACCAGGCTCCCACGACTTGCTGCCGAAGGGAGGCCGTGGGCACCTGCCGAGCCAGGGCAGGGCTCCCGCACCGCCCCCTCGGAGCCCGGGCGCGCGCGGCGCCGCCGGAGCACGCTCCGTCGCCCGGCGCGCCGCCAGGCAGAAAAGGGGCGCTCGCGCGGCCCGCTGCGCTCTGCGAGTGCGTCGCTCGGACCCCGACGCCGTGCTCGCCTCACGACGTGGGCCCCCAAAGAGGCCTCGACCCACTCCCTGGGGCCCAGCTTCTCGTGCCGCGTCGCCTCTGGACGGCCCAAAGGGGCCCGAACGGGGGGCCCCCCCAGGGCCCAGGTTGGCAGAAGGCCGCCCGCCGTGCTTCTTGCCACTGCGCGAGGGGGTCTGGGCCCTGCGCGTGCGCCCGCCCTTCCCCCGCGCAGGAGCGGCGATGGCGCCGGCGGCTCCGTGGCCGACCCGGTCCTGCCCGCCGTGGCGGCCCTGCGCGCCCTCAAGGACCGCGCCGCGCCCTGGCGCTCGCTGGCGGACCGCGGCGAGGCGCCGGACGCCATGACCGCCGCAGCCACGGCCGCGGGCACGACGACCGCCGCGGCAGTGGCCGCAGGCAGAACGACCGCCACGGCCGCGGCCAAGACCACTGCCACGCAGACGGCGACCGCAACGGCCGAGGCCACGGCGACGGCGACCGCCACCGCCACCGCCACGGCCACGGCCACGGCCACGGCCACCAGCGCCACGGCCACGGCCACCCCGACCGCGGCGGCGACCACGGCCGCGGCGGCGACCACGGCCGCGGAGACGACCACGGCCGCGGAGACGACCACGGCCGCGGAGACGACCACGGAGCCAACGGCCGAGGGCGCGGGGATCGCCGTGGCGGGCGCCACAGGGGTCGGGGCCGCGGGCGACCAGGCGGCCTCGCTCGAGCCCCTCACCGTCGCGGCGAGCTCCACCGCGACGAGCAGGCGGGCCCGCCCGGCCGGTCGGGAGGGCCGTGGGCGGGGCGGCGCAGCGGGGCGCGGGGGGCGGAGGGTTACGGTTAAGACGAGGCCAGGGCGAGGATAGAGATTCGGGGGGAGGGTCAATCCCAGACCCTCTCGAGTCATGAATCAATCATGACGGGAGGTTGTTCGCTCTTTCCGGCCTCTGGGGGCCCCTACCGGGCCTCGGGTCCGTCGAAAAACGATTCAGGATGAGAGACAGGTCCCTGGGGAATGGGTCCAGACCTCTGGGGGTCGACGTAATGAAAAAATCATGACGTGATCGAGGATCTTTGAGCTCCGGCGGCTCTGGAGGGTGTTTCGGGCGCCGCGGCCTGCTCAGAGCCCTCCCGAACGCTCGGGAACGAACCTCTCCTCGTCCTGTCCCCTTGTCCGAACGGCCGGGCTCTTTTGGATCGCGTGTTCGTCCGCCTCTTCTGGCCCACCACGCTTCAGAGCGACACGCCATCCACTTCCCGCCGATGCCCCGAGCCGGATTCCGAGCCTCCCGCGGCGCGGCGCGGCGCGACGCGCTCTCCGCTCGCAGGGCGTAGCGTGTCGTCGGGGCCGCCCCCCGCGACGCGCTACTTCAAAGTCGGGCATGTCCCGCTACAGGAGGAACATACAGCAATAGCCAAACATAGTCAGGTTCGACTGACTCTTTTTGAATATGTTTGACTATTTTTCATTCTTGCTCCAAAACCTCCCTGTAGGAGGATCTGCCCGACCAAACGCTACTTTCAAAGTCATTGGCCGTAGTCGAGCGACGTGTCAGAGCTGGTGAGCCGACTGCGCTGGCGCTGTGGAAGCAGGCGGCCCGCGTCTCGCGCGCGAGCGTGCTCCGTTCCGCGCGGTGTGCCGCGCTGGCCCGCGTGACCGAGAGGCCACTTGTGTGTCTTCACGTCCTCTCGCGGGAGAGCCATTTGAGCGACGGAAACATAACGGGGTCGTCTGCGCCGACATTGGCGCGTAAGCTGCCCGCGTAAGGTCGCGCGTAAGCGCCCTCGTCTCCAATGCAGCGTGCCGCGCTGGCGGCCCGCGTAAGCTTCGGCGTAAGGTCGCTGCGTCATCTCGCGCAAGACAAGTTTTTGATCGTCGCCCACTTGAGTGTCTCCACGTCCTCTCGCGGGAGAGCCATTTCTTTCCGCCGCCCGGGTTCTCGTCTCGTCTCGGGAGTTTTCTTGCTTGCTCCGCAGGGGGAGATGCGGCCCCATGGGCCCATCCATGAGCTTCGAGGCTTCGACCGCATCTGTCGCGCTGGCTTTTTTCTTGTGCGGCCCGAACCACGCCCAAGTCGGCGATTGGTGCTGCACCAGTTCAGCACGCAACAGGTAGTAAGTTTAAGTCGGGCATGTCCCTCTACATGAGGAAGATTCACAAATAGTAAAAGCACTAGTCGGGGGACGATGTTTCTACGATTCTTGAGCGTTTGTTTGTGCATGTTTGACTTCTTTGCTTGTCCTCCCAAATCCGCCTGCAGAGGACATGCCCGACCGAAAGGTCAGTCCTAAAGTCCGAGCATCGGCAAAGGGGTGCCATTCTCGGCGGCTCGTGGCTGCGACAAGCTGCCGCCGTCGGCCTCCCGTGTCGCGGCTGCGGGGCCAAGATGCGAAGGGGGTCCTCTGCCTGCAGATCGGCGCCGTGTCCCGCGCGAGGCATTCCAGAGCATGGGCTCGTCCTCGCGTGATCGAGAGGAACGGGCACCTCGTCCCCGGCGGCAGGCGGCGGAATCAGAGACCGGGGGCGGCCCCTCTGGAGGAAGCCAGAGGAGGCACGAGCTTGCTTCCCAAGAGGTCGTCGTTGTCTTGTTCATTGTTTTGTCGATCGACGCAGGCCCTCGCACCCCTCCTCCCCCCATTGACAAGAGCTTGGCTGTTCTGGGCGCACTGTTGCAAACAGTCGCATGGAGCAGAGGTCCAGAGCCAGCCCCCCCCCCTCCCCTCCTTGGCTCAACGTCGAAACGCCGAATCTGAACGTTCACGAGATGGCAACCTTTTTAGGAGTTGAGGGTTTCCAGAACCCGCCACGTGGCGAGCGGGCGCCGTCGGGCGCAGCCTGATCTTCCAGAGCGTCTCGAGTCGGACAAGGGGGGGGGACAGGTGGAGGAGGAAGAGAAGAGGTAGGAGGAGGAGGCGGAGGAGGAGGGCGGAGGAGGATTAGGAGGATGAGGAGGAGCATGGAGAGGCAGGAAAAGGGAGGGGGGCAGGAGGAGGAGGAGGAGGAGGAGGAGGAGGAGGAGGAGGAGGAGGAGGAGGAGGAGGAGGAGGAGGAGGGAGGAAGAGGGAGGAAGAGGGAGGAAGAGGGGGGACGGGGACGGGGCTACGGGGGGTACGAAGTCTGCTGCGCTCCGCCGGCTGCGGCCCCGCCGACGGGCGCTCTCTCCCCCATATACACTGGCAGCTCTGGCGCCTCGCCCGTTGCGTGAGCTGCTTCGCTAGCCCCCCCCTCTCGCTTTACTCTCCGCCCCCGTCGCTGATTCGCTAGCCCCCCTCGCTGATTCGCTGGCCCCCCCCCTCGCTAGCCCCCCCCCCTCGCTTTACTCTCCGCCCCCGTCCGTCCAACCCGAGCGCTGCGGAGCCTCCTTGCGCTCGCCTGGCGGGGGATCTGGGCACCTGCAGCGCGGTGCTCGCGGCTCACAGGGCCTCGACGACGTCGTCGACCGCCGCAACGACGCGTGCCGACGAGGCCACCAGCTCCACGACTGCCACGACGGAGGTCGCCTCTTCCACGATTGAGATCGCTCTGGCGGCGTCCGCAGCGGAGGCTAGAAGTTCTCAGCCCCACCAGGGGTCGGCCTTCAATGCTGGTGACGGGGGCATGCTGATCCTGCTAGCATTCTTTATATTTCTGCGACTTGCTGCTTCGATCCAGTGACAGGTTAGTTTGTTGACTCGTGCCTTCGAGGAGATGGGGGAGGACGGGGAGAAGAACGGAGGGGTGAGGAGGGATGGAGGAGGGATGGCGGAAGGATGAGCAGGGTGAGGGCAGCTGGGAGGTAGAACTGAGGCGGAGAGGCGCAGGATGAGAGATGAGAAGGAATAAAGGAGGAGGTGGATACACGAGGGAGCAAGAGCAAGGAAGGGGAGCTGGACTGAGCCAGAAGCGGAATATTGATGATGGCGAGGAGGAGGAGGAGGAGGAGGAGCAGTAGGAGGAGGAGAAGGAGGAGAAGGAGGAGAAGGAGGAGAAAGTGAAGGACAGAAGAGGAGGGATGCGGGAGGAGAAGGACGAAGCAGCGGATGATGAGGGACGAGGACGAGGAGAAAGAGGCACAAATGGAGGAGAAGGAGGAGATATGAGGAGGCCCGTCGAAGAGGTATCTCACATATTCTTGCTGCCCCTGCAGCCTGGTGATCATTTGTGCCCGGGCGAGGGGGAAGGTCGCGAGACTCCAGCATCACGCAAGATATGAAATTCTTTCTTACGGATCTGCACCTTGAGCCCTCATGTTCCTCCCCGCCGTCGGTGATCTCGACGTCCCTCCTGATGACGGAGTCGACGCGTTGCCGCTGATGGACGCAGCTGGCGGGGCTCTGCCCGTTGGCAGGGGCTCCACGGTGGCCAGGGCAGGGGCAGCGGACGCGCACACATATCGGGCACGGGGCGTGGCAACCGAAGAACGCCTGCGCCCGCAGGCATCGGCACCTCTGCATGACAGCCTCGCTTCGGTTCGGTTCGATGCGCGCCGCTTCTGTTCGGCCAGTCTGGCTCGCGTCGCAGACTGGTTCGGCTCGATCGGGTCGGGTTTGGTTCATTCGGCCACTTCGGTTCGGCCGGTCCGGCCAGTTCGGGGTCGGTTCAGATTTGGTCAATTCGACCAGTTCGGTTCGGCCAGTTCGATTCGACTGATCCGTTTTTCGAAGGGGCAGGTGGACATACGCAAGTTGAATCGATTTGCCGGCAGCCTCGAAGGACGGCAGTTCCGAGTCTCTGGGGTCACCTAAAAATCCATGCTGTTGCCCTGCATTCCCCGACAAGAAGTCTCCAGGAAGCCCCAACACCTCCACTCTCCATCCTCCCCGTCCTGCTCCTCTTCCACGTCTCCCTCCGCATCTCCCCCGCGGTGCAGTTCGACCACGGCCGAATTTCAGAGGGAACTCCCGTGGCGGCGAGAAGCCTCCAGAACCGAAGGAGAAACAACGGCATACACATACACTTTTGGCGCTCCGCGCGGATCTCTCGGATCCGCGCTGAGCCCCCCGGCGGCGCCTCTGGCTCCGCCCCTGGCGCGCGGAGCGCGCCAGGGAGGGGGGTCCAGCGTGGATCCAAGAAAACCACGCGTATGGCCAAACGTTTATGGTCACGGCGGCTTTCCTTCTTCGAGAGAAGCCTCCCGAAGGCAGAGGAAGGAGGAGCATGGCGGAGCATGGAGGAGCGTGGGGGAGGAAAGAGGAGCATGGAGGAGGAGGAGGAGGAGGAGGAGGAGGAGGAGGAGGAGGAGGAGCAGGAGCAGGAGCAGGAGCAGGAGGAGGAGGAGGAGGAGGAGGAGGAGGAGGCCAGAGGGCGACAGACGTCAGCAACAAATGGAGCCTTGCGCCTGGGCGTGCGGCAGGGCAGGAGCCAGGAGCAGCGGCGGGGTCCGCGGGGGAGGCGCTCGGGGAGCGGCAGGGGCTCAGACCCCCCCCCCGCCCGCCTCCTCCTCCTCCCCCCCCCGCCGCCTCCTCCCCCCCTCCTCCCCCCCTCCTCCTCCTCCTCCTCCTCCTTCCCTCCTCCTCCTCCCTCCTCCTCCTCCTCCTCCTCCTCCTCCTCCATGCTCCTCCCGCCTCCTCTCCTTCTCCTCCTCCTCCTCCTCCTCCTCCTCCTCCTCCTCCTCCTCCTCCTCCTCACCAGGGGGAGCGGGATACGTTTCGCGCCGCTTTGGCGCAACATCCTCACACTCAGGAATCTCGCCCCTCCCCATCCTCATCGTCCCTCGTTGCACGGTCATATCTGCCACTCTAGCGAGTGTGCGGTGCTCCGATGGGAGCTGCGAAGTAGAGGGTTTTGACGCAAGAAGTTGTTTACCCCCACCCCATTTTCACGAACACGCCTTGAGACTTTAGGCTTCAACTGAATGGGTGAGAGCGAGAGCGAGCGAGCGATCCCGGTCCTGATGCGGATCCTCCCCCTTCCCTCCCTTTTTTCTCGCAACTCAGAATGCCGTTCGAAGCCCCCAGGAGGCAGCGACAGCCCGTCTGGCGTGGAGATATCAGCGTGGGGTCTCGGAGCTTAATACGACCCGACCCTTCGCGCTTAGCTTCGCGCTGTTGCCCAGGCGGGGTCCCTGGCAACTGTGCGGCATTTCGAGGGGCTGTTTCCCCGGGCCCGTTGGGACGAAGGCTTGGTCCTGGTGGAAGGGGCCGCGAGAGCCCAGGGGACCCGCGCGGACAAAATCGGGACGCTGCCGCAGGCCCAGATTGAGAACCGGGGGGCGCCCCCGATATCTCTCCGCAGTCGGGTTTCTCCCCGGCTCCACGCGTCGTCGAAAAGCACTGGCCGTAAGGGAGAGTTCGAACGTACCTCCGCCTGCTTTAGTCGAAGGAGAAAAACGCTATGAACAAAAAGCTTTTGCGCTGCGCGCGGTTTTCTTGGATCCGCGCTGGGCCCCCCGGCAGCGCCTCCAGCGCCGCTCTGGCGCGCTCCGCGCGCCGGGGCGGAGGGTCCAGCGCAGATCCAAGAACTCCGCACGGAGCGCCAATCTGATGATACCTACAGCGTTTTTTCCTTTCCTATTTGTAGCAGAGTACCCCTGTCAAGCAGAGCACCCTGTTCACCCGCCACTGCCTGTTTTGTCAGAGTGGGCCATGGCGGAGGGGCCGCCTGGGAGGGCCCGGCTCCTGGCCCCCCGGGGTCGCCCGGGCTCCCCGGGGGATTGCTCGGGACGGTCGTCCTCTTGTGCTATGTGTTTTGGTGTCGATGTGGCGTGCTCCGTTTTTTGTTGCCTCGGTTTGCTCGACGATGCTGTGCTGATTGTGCTGTGCGATCGTGGGCGCCTGGCACATCCGCAGCATCCCATCCCGAAGCGAGCCTCAGGCGGTAACGCTCGGTCAGGGATGCTTCGAAACAGATCGTGAGATACAGAGGGGGCAGCTATCATTCCGAAGGCCGAGATTAGCCATGGGCAGATCCCTGCGTGCTCGCGCGGGATAAGTTCGCGTGTGACTTTAGCGACGCTTAAGAAAGGAAGCGCAGGCACGAACGGTTTGCTCCTCTCTTGCGACTTCCCCCCGTCTCCCCATCCTCTTTTTGCGTCCGCTTCAAGCGTGCCAAGCAGTCTCCAATTGTTTTCCACCCGCCGCGCTGCACGTGCTTTGACTTGATGTGCGCGCTGCGTGTTATTATTGCCTGTGTTGGTTTCGGTTGGAGGCCTGATTATCTAAATTGTCAGTTGAACCAGATCGGGTGCACGCGCACAAGCATAACCCCATCGCCCATTCCCTCTGGCGTCGCATGTGTTCATCCTCCGCCGCCTCCTCGCTCCCCCCTCGGGCTTGCACGTTTCTAAGGGGCGTCTCTGAAGGCGGCGCGTGGTCACTGCATTGCGGACGGGGTGACTGCGTCAGAGAAACCGATTCAACCCGCCCACGACGCGGCCCGAAAAGGGTTCGAGAGAGGGGGGGCGATCCCGCGTGCCAGTTATGGCAAAGAGGGGCGCCGGCTCTTCTCATAGCATTGCAGCACCTCTACAGCAGAGGCGGCACCATTACACGCACGCCCCCAGGCGTGGTCGCAAACACATTCTCAGTCAAACCACGTTGCCTGTAGTGTATCCCTCTTCCCAGACACCTTCGGATTATGAAAAACTAACGATTGGCGGTGTTTCACTATTGTCGGCCTTTGGGGCCCTTACCAGGCATCGGGACCGTCAAAAAACGGATCGGGATGTAAAACCGGTTCAGGGGAATGGGTCGAGATTTATGGGTGTCGACGTAATGAAAAAATCATGGCGTCGGGGTTTTGGGTCAGCAGGCTGGCGGCCAATAGCGCTGCACAGGGTCAGGGAAGAGCTGCCATTGATGGTGGCGTGCCCATTCGTGTACTGTTTTTTATCGTGCTGGGGGCGAGGGGGATGGGGGGCTTGGGACAGGATATCTGGGAGCGGTACCCACTTGTGTGACCACCCGGCACCCAGGATGGAAGGAGGAGGGACCCTCCGAGGCGGAGGCCCTCCGACGCACCTGATGACTGGCACTGGCCGAAGGGGGTGGAGTGGTTCCGTCGAGAAGCGGAGCAGCAAGCCAGCGGTAGTCACGCCCAAGGGGGGCTTTCCCAGCAAGGCCCGAAGTGCGGTGGCCCAGGGAGGCAGGCCCAGACCGAAGCGGCCGCCGCCTCGAAGTAGCAGGCGCGGCAGGTGCAGGACGCGATTGTTTTTTTTGCTCATGCCGTCGGCGCACGGAGGTATCGACCACTTCCCTGGGGCCCGTTACTTCCCCAGGCTGTCGTCGAGTTGTTTTCACTTCCGGAGGTTCCTTCTTGTTGCCCCCCCCTTCAGCGCGCACGGTGTGTCTTTCGAATCGAAGCACCCCCTCGCGGGGATCGCACCCAGCTTCTCTTTTTGTCAGGGACCGTCTTGAGACTCAGACTGCGCCCCTGGCCCCGGTGTGTTCGCCTAGGACTTCTCTTGGAACTTGCTGAAGCGCGGCGGTCTCGACGTCCAGGAATCGCGCCGTCGCACTGGACGTCCTGACAATTTGCTCAGGACGTCTGCTCTTGCCTGGGCCTTCTCTGCAATTTGCGACGTTCGTTTCATGTCCCGCCCGCGCGACCTGCCCGTCCAGGCCCGCCCGCCAGACCCGCCCTCAAGGGCCGGCCCGCCCGACCCGCCAATTGGGGCCAGCGCGCCCGACCTGCCCGTCAGGGCCCACTTGACAAATTCACAGGCGATGACCCTCCCC